CTCTCGACGTTGCCCACAAATCCGCGAGCACGCGGGAAGGAACTGCACGGGCGCGCGGGCGCTAGGGACACTCTCGATGCCGCGGTAGTGCGCGCGGGCACGCGGGTGGCACTGGCGATGGCTCTCGATGTCGCGGGTAGTGGGGCGACGTCGCGTGTGCGCAGGTAAAGGCAGCTCTCGACATCGCGGAATCCTCGGCGGACGCGCGGATGGGCGCGGGCATGCTCTCGGCATCGCGGAATCCTCGGCGGACGCGCGGATGGGCGCGGGCATGCTCTCGGCATCGCGGAAAGGTGTGCGGGCACGCGGACACGGCCTGTGATGGCTCTCGATGGCGCGGAACTGCGAGCGGGCACGCGGCATGCGGCAGCTGCTTGGACTTGGGATTTGACTAAGGCTTGGAAAACTCGGCCGTGGAAATGTCTCGTGCACGATGGCTCAAAACTCCTCGGAAACTCGACTTCTTCATAAACTGCTCATATTTCGGAATGTGGCTCGATTCTCTCCCCATCTCTATTCCGGAATAGACCTGAAATTCATAGCAAAAATACGGGAAAATACGCCAAAATATAAAATAAACAACAAAAACATAGAGACACACGATAAACGAGAAAGTGGACCGGTCGACACCAAAACAAACATAAAATCGACTCGAAAGCACACAAAAACACATAAAAATAAGCACAAAAACACAATAAACACCCCTCTTTGTCCAACTTGACGGCGCGTGCTGCACACTTTCATGCACTGCAATAATTGTTCATTTTTTTCATTTATTTTGAATTTGAAATTTACTATTTTGCCCCTTCTTTTTCTACCAATTGTTGTGCAAAAAGTAATGATTTGCTGCTCCTAGAATTCGAACATGTGCCAAAACATTAGTAGACAAGACGTCAAACCACTTGGCCACCATCATTCTATGGTACAAATCTAACATATATTTATTTAAACAACACGAACAGCAAAAAACTTAACAAACAAAAGATGAAAAATAAAATAATCACAAAATAATTTAATTATTTTTAAATTGAATAAAATTAAATGTAAAATTTGAAAATATTAAATAAATATATTGCTATTTAATATAGAAATAAAATGATAATTTGATATAAATAAAATAAAAAATATATAAATATGAAATAATATTTAATATTAAATATAAAATATACAATATTATAAATTGAATTAATATAATAAAAATAAATAAAAGTAAACTAAATTAAATTAAATTTATTTATAATAAAATAAAATGATACTTATATATATAATATTATTTGAAAATAGTAATTTGTAAATAATATATTTTCTATGCAATAGCTGTATAGGATTTGTATTTATTTATTTGTTATATTATTTTCTTTTTTAAAATGTTCAACAAATATATAAATTTAATTTATTTCAATAAACTTTTTATTTATGAATTTTTAATAAATAATTTAAGTACTTATTATTTATTCATTCTATTTATTTTTAAATTTTTGTAAATGTATAATAACTAAAAAATAATATTTATAATG